GGACGCATTTTCGTGGAACCCCGTGTCCAACTTAGAGAGGTTTTACTGTGTATGTGTGTGTGTGTGTGTGTGTGTATGTATGTATGTATGTGTATGTGTATATGTGTATATATATATATATATATATATCCCTCTTACCACATATATACAGCTTGAAGTGGGTACAGAGAGGAAGCAAGATGATCCGTAAAATCTCATAATTTGAAACAATTAAAGAAAAGAGACACTTGACCTTCTTTACCTTGCATATAATTTGAGATCCAGCTAACAAATAAAACCAGAACTCTCTTAAGATAGCTCTCTTCTGGGTTGTAGCGCCATGTAGTCTGGTAGAAGTTTACGGACATTTCAAAGTCCTTGCTGCCTCCATCATCATAGGAATGAGTTGCCAGATGATGACTAAACGGCACTTCAACCCAGAAGACAGCTATCTTTGAACTCACTGCAGATAAAAACCTCAAATCATACTAAAACTTTCTTAAGCCTTTAAAGCCAATGGAAAATATATATACCACCTATTTCAACAATCAATAACTCTAATTTTGTATTTATGGGTTTCACAAGATTCTCACTGTAAACTGTGATTATTTCCTTAAATAACACAGCAAGTTTATCTCTGTAATGGTGAAGAGTTATGATTTCTTTGCAGTATGCAATTTATGTTCATTATTTAGAAAGAGATCCCACTGCAAAATCACACACAACAATAGGGAAAGTGATAATTTCATAACTAACTAACTAAATGGCTTACTGAACCCGAAGGTTCATCACCGAATTAACCAAAGCCCTCCACCGGACCCTATCCTGGGCCAACAAAATCCAGTCTCCTTCAACTCCTATCTCCCATAGATCCCGCCTGATATTATCCTCCCATCTATGTCTAGGTCTCCCCAGTGGTCTCTTCCCCTCAGGCTTCCCAACCAATACCCTGTGCACACCTCTTGTCCCATCCATGCTCGCTACATGCCCCACCCATCTCATTCTTCTTGACTTAATCACCCTGACAATATTGGGGGAGGAGTACAGATTTTTATGCTCATCATTATGCAGTTTTCTCCATGCCCCATCGTCTTCTCTCTTAGGCCCAATTATCCTCCTCAACACCCAATTCTCAAACACCTGCAATCTGTGTTCCTCCCCCTGGGTTGATAATTTCATAGTGTTTTGAAACATATGAGAAAATTTCAGTTCTTTAACTGAATAATAATAAGCATTTCTTTACTTTAGTTTTTGCATAATTGAAATTAAAATACCCATTTAACTTTATGCAGCAATTTACCTTTCCCAAAGCTGTAACTTGGTCTTACATTTTAATTTATTTGGAGAAAACTGACTTAATTTTGTGTTGTTATCAGGTCTGAAAACAAACTTCCTAATACTGACATCAAAACAAGTAAGAATGAAGACAAAATCCCTATATTCAATTATGTATCATCAATACAGAATTCCATCACATGGGGAGAGTTCATGAGACTCAATGAGGTTGCAATTATCTATCCATCTTTTAAATGCATATGGTACTATTGCTTCCAACTCAACAAGCACAGGTTCATTCATAACATATACATTATATTTCTGCACCTGTTGCCAGCAATATTCATAGACACTGGAGCCAAGATCATTGGCAAACAACCAATGTAAGTGCCTCTACAAATACTTTACACCAAACTTATATATAAAGATTTATAATCCTTTATTAAATTGCTCCCTTTTCATGACACAGCTTGGCCAAACACAAAATAAGTAGTTGTAAAGAGATGATGAGGGATTATCCTTGAACTTGGGTTTGATTTATAGATTGACTGATTGAGATTTTAGTCACCCTCAGTGGACTAGTGGTTGGCATGCTTGCCACTGGACCTAAGGTTCGCAGGTTCAAACCCACCAAAGGTTGATGGATTTTTAAGGGTGATAAAAATATGTAGCACAAGTTCCTTCGGAGGGGAAGTAAAGTCAGCGATCCCATTTCATAGATTTACGGCATGTAAAAAAACATTACGAGCATGAATGAGATGTTTCATAAGCAAAATTCAGCAGCCATTTCTCAACCAAAAGTCTCCTGATTCACTACTAGATGGCTCTAGCAGAAATAATCAGGATTGAGTAGAAATTGTGCAGAGGCAGTGAGCTTGTCACTCACAACTTATAAATGCACACTTCAAAGACAAAGAAACCTCCCACATGGGAGGAAACCATGGCTTGACTTTGGGTTGTTGTGCCATAGAAAAAATATTGAGATTTTAGGTTCCCACAGTGCCAAGTATGGATAGCTGTCTTCTAAGTCGTTGCACTGTGTAGATTGGTAGAAGGTTACCAATTGTTTCAGATATGTCTGCTGTCTCCATCATTACCCTCATGATGGTAGCAGCAAGCACTTCTGAAATGTTAGTAACTTTCTACCAGACTACGTGGCATAACAACCCAGAAAACAACCATCTTCAGACTAACTGATGAGTTTAGAGTAGACTCAGATGCTCTGTTATGTGTAATTATCTACTCATCAAATAATTCAATAAAAATCACAAACTCAAATAACTGTGGTTTGATATTCTAGAATTAAATAGTGGCATGTGCTCAATTAAAGGTATAATCGTTGCACTGCTATTGGGGCCAGATGCTATTCTGATCGCCAGTAACCATTAAAATGTAGCTTGTTATGATACTTCACAAAATGGCTTGGAACTAGTCAAGTTTACAATGTATTACATGTTACAGCATGTGGAAGGCATACCAGAAAATTCACAGGTTCACAGATGTTATTGCATACTACAGCACTCAAAGGTGGATCTTCCATAATGACAATGTCCAGAATCTCTGGAGAAAGATGAGTCCTCAAGATAAGGTTATGTTTAAATTTGACATTACTTTACTAGACTGGGAAGTGTACCTTTTCAGCATGATTAGGGGACTAAGGCTTTACATCCTTCAAGAAAATTTTGAACATCTTAAAGAGTCATCAGTGCGATACAAGAGGTAAGGCTTATTTGTGTTTTTAAGATAATGGAGATCTGCTTGTACATTCCAACAATATTTGGAACAGCTGTTAAATGTACATGGAGCTAACAATGTTGGGCAGGCTGAAATATATACAGTTCACCTTATAACCTGAGCCTAGCTCTCATTTTAAGATTCCATAGCTTCTGGAAATTTCATATCACATATATTGCCATGCACTCATCAAATTCCAGCATAACTGATCCAAACTGGGGATAAACCAATACGTTCAGAAGTCCACAAACTCATTAATTATATTTTGAACAAAGACTGCCACAGCAATGGAATTAACTAAGTCCATGATTCATCATAAAAAAATAAAGTGATAAATTTTCTGAACAGGATGCATAGACTTTTCATAGTTGCAGTAATTATCATGTTCATTATTGTTTTTATTCTGAACTCCATTTCTTTACAGACTGAAATATCTGCATTACACAATAGTATATTCATTTAGACTGCTTCTGCTGTATGCAGCTTACCAGATAGCACTTCACTGCTGGATCGCCTACAAGGATGTTTTATTGGAAGTACTATAAGAGAAACTCGGTATTCCCAAGAAAGTCACATGAACTGCCTCATACACTATATAGTTACATAAAAATTGCATGTGAACATCAGCAATCTACTTACATATCTTTATTCTAGGTGTTTTCTTGGTAAGAAAGTCTATTATGAAGCATTAGCTCAGTTTGCCACTGAATACTAGCATTCTATTTTACCTACTAAAAACTGGGAACAACATTATCAAAATTCTTCTTTTTACAGACTTACACACCTGACACTAGTATTTTTATTTTCAATACTTACACACAATAAGGTTAAAAAGTTAGATACATTATTCTTACACCTTTATTTGAATTCCTTACTCTGAAGGAAAGGATAAATCATCACAAACTTTCAGTTTTATTCGACTAGAGCTGTGCTCACTTTGCTCACCAACCCCACTGAACAACGCCCATTCTTCCCTCCTATTCCACTCATTCCATTTACTTTCCTGCATTCCTTACCTCCACATTTTATGAATTTAAGAGCAACAAACAAGGGAAATTAACAGAAATTATGAATAGTTTGTCCTTTTTCAGCTTTGAAAACCAATGCACCACATGTTCACACACTTCACATGGTACTCCTATCTACATCTCAGTTTCAACAGATTTATTTTCTCCAGCAGGTCCAATAATTTGTTCCCATCAGTGAGTAGCTATCTCAGCTTAATTCATATAAGACACAAGTCAAGAAGTGCATACTTGTAAATCTTGCCTATTTTTCTTTTTATTCACAAAAGAAACTGGAGCAAACAATCTAATATATGTATTTTCCAATTTAGCACCCAGAGCCATGTATGTGTTTTGAATGTTGCCTCCTTTCTTGTCTGCACATTCACTTGTTTATTTTAAAGTGATTGTTGAGAGAACAGCATAATTTGGAAGACACGGCCATGACATTCATTTAATACACACTACAGACTAAGCAATAACTGCAATTTATAGCCTACAATATATGTTGACATGTCTCTTACCTTGTTCATTTTAAAGGAAAAGCAGATATAAAAGATAATGTCAATTATCTTACTTAACTTCAATTTATACCTATATAAATCATGTATTAATAATATCTCATTTAAATAATATAAACCTGTGACAAAATAATACAATGCAAGTTACCTTGCAGTGGTGTACTGGATTAATATGAAAGAGGTCATGTAACTGAATTCTGACAGAGTAAAAATTGTTTTGTTTCATGTACCTGTCATATTATTGTTTTACAATGTATAAAGAATTACTGTGACTTTGTGCATTTTTTTTATAAATCTATTAACATACACCATTGTATGACCCTATATTATGTGGCACTACTGTTGCCCTAACCTCACATGTTTGTCCATCCATCATGAAGATTGCTGTCTTCTGGGTTATCGCACAGTGTAGTCTGGTGGATTTCCACCAATGTTTCAGGGGTCATACTGCCTCCGTCATCCTGATGACGGAGGCAGTATGACCTCTGAAACACTGGTGAAAATCTACCAGACTACACAGTGTGATAACCCACAAGACAGCAATCTTTAGACTCACCACTGTGAAAAATTCAAATCATTCATCCATTATGTTGATAAAAACGATTGCAGGAAACTAGAAGTAAGAGTTTAGGATTGCCTCCAATGATATAAAGTCCACATCAAATTTCACAGAAGTCTGTCAAGTTGAATCATGTGGATAGACAGGCATGTTCAGCCCTATAAGTACTTATTTTGTGAAAATCTTGCAGAGAATATATAATAACTGTATGGAGTCTGATCAGATCTAAATGGGCCACAAAGAATCATTAATTAACCAGTCATGAGAAATGATGAATAAGGTACCACAAAAATATACAGAGTGGGTTGGAAGTAAGTAGGCATTAAATAATCGCTATGCATTGGATCTTTTTGAAAGAATACATATTCATTCTTCTTGTCACTTAGATTTTGAAAAATGTGTGTGAAAATATGCCTAATATATCCTTGAATTTAAAAATAACAATAATAATGAAGATCCAATGATACATACTGCACTGATGCATGCCATACACCAACTTTCATGTTAGTTAAAGGCATCCCACGTATCAGTCCAGGATTATTTTAACAACCTGAGTCTGTTACACTGGATACATACATCACCATTCAAATTAAACTTGCAACAATGCCACAGCCTAGTGGTTAGCCCTCATGCTTTGTACTAGGTTCAAATCTCAGCTCAGAGACTGACTGAGGGCTTTCTAGTTTTTCTCAGTCTGTCCACACAGATACCAGGATCATTCCTTACATAAGGCCATGACACCTTCCTCCCAAATCCCTTCCAATTAATTATCCATTAACACCTTATATATATATGTAGTTTGAACTATTTTGGCTTGCTCTATGAATTTGTTTCTTTTTAAAAGTTCTTTCAATTTAATCATGTAAGTGACATGGTTCTCACTTACCTTGCAATTCTTAGCCATTTGTAATAAATTCTGCCATTCTCTGACGCCAGAAGATATCACAGTTCCTGTGCTGGGTGAGAAAGTTCACTTATATCACTGGATGACTAAATGAACATGTACACAAAGAAAGACATAGTGAACTATACTTATAATTCAACTGAGTACATGGCAACCTCAATGAGAAAGGATTTCTCAGTCAGAATAGTGTCAAACTACTGACTGGGAGAATGGAATTCAATCCCCAGCAAGAGCATGGAATTTCCCTTCTAGCCTCTGAATCCAGATCAGCTCTGGGCCTATACAGCCTCCTATCCTATATGTACCAGGGGTCCTTCCCCCGGAGATAAAGCATGGCCAAGGTGTGATGCTAATCACTCATCTCCATCTAGTGCCAAGGTGAAGAATAATTAGAAGCTATATTCCTCTTCAAGTACCTGCATGACATGTAGCAGTGCAGATTTACTTAACACGACAACCTAACAGGTTACCATCGAACAGGTTTAGTATACAAAAATATCACTGTAACTATATTTGTTTGAACTGTACGATATAGCAATTTTATTTATGGAAAGGAGATATTTGTAGGATTTGAGGTTTTCACGGCGATGAGTATGAAGATGACTGTCTTCTGGGTTGTTGCACTGTGTAGTCTGGTCGATGTTAACCAACGTTTCAGAGGTCATACTGCCTCCGTCATCAGGACTCTTCAAGGAGATATTTATCTGATGCTCAGAAAGGGAAATTCGGAGATGTTCCTTTTTCCTTTTCTCAACACCATATAATTCACTTCACAGGTCAACTTTGATATCATTTGCTTACCAATATAACACAGGACTTGCTTACTAACCTAACCATGTACTCAGCAGAATTACATAGCCACTTCGATCTCACGAATGCCATCGTTAAGTAATATATTGGTATTCTTACTACGTGTTTCTTTGTACACATAATCCCACACATTTCACTTCGCGTGTTAACGTCTTATTCCGTTACTTCAACGTTTTCAAACACTACTCTTAGATAACTTCAAGCTTTGAGTGAAATAGGCACCGCCAAATACCCGAACAATATTACTTCCGGAGTATCGGAATTTAATAATCGATAGTTGTCCCTCAATCCCTCTGACACGCCACAGATTATACCATGATGAAACACTCATCTCCCTGATGATGGAGGCAGCAAGCTCATCGGAAACGTCGATAACCTTGCATCAGACTTCACGGCAGTCATCTTTACGATGCACACAGATTAAACCAGCATTTGTCATTCATGCTGCAGTAACTCGATTAATCGATAGCTGGCAGTAAAACCTTTTTGGCTACAACCCGAAGATATCCACCCAATAAAAGTTCTTTTCTCAAAGGACTTATTGCCTACCGGAAGCCGCTTCAACTAGCAATAACGGCCCTTACACCGAATTCGTCAAGGCCTTCTAAAGCACTTTCCCGCTTATAGTTTATGAGGCACTATTTCCGAATTTCAGCTATGCATTTCAATTACAGGGTTACAAATTGCGCTCCAATCCTTAGTTAGCATCTTGGTTGGGCAGAAACCTATTGTGGAGGCAGCAAGCACCTCTGAAACATCACTAAACTTCTAGACTACACACCACTCTACCCAGAAGACAGCTATCTTCATACTCGACCATCATTAGAACCAAAAGTCTGAAATGGGTTATTAATTATGGTAGTAATATTTACTGACCTTCACATATCATGCTGTAGTTGTCTGCTGTTCTATTTCAATATGTGTGGGCAGCACAATTTTTCATTATCTTCTTACTCTTAACAATGTTCTGGGTTAATACATAACATAAAACTTGTAGGTAAATACAAATGTTTTGGAGAAACAAACTGTCTCCATTTTTGGTGCTGTAGGTTTATGCACATGCACTTCTGTCCATGTTTGATACATCTAATCACTTATATAAAATAAATAATTAGAAATAGAAATAATAAATTTGCATATATATGGATGAAAAGTTTGTTACATTCCCTTCTGAACTTAGAGGAAGATTAAACTGACTGAACAATGTAAAGTAATACTCTTCATTCATAAAAGTAAACAATTTTATTAAACTGAAATAATATACATGTGGGTTTATACAAGAACTGATACAATCAGTGGAAGATGCCAGTGGGGGAACACCTCCTATACATAAAACCATTTCCAAAAAAAGCAAATATATCACAAGTCAATAACTTGGTGCCATTACTTCCCTGACACAAAACCCTTTGCATATTAGTTAACAGCTGTGCAAAGGAATTAACATATCAATAATCCTCTTGCAAGTGAGAGTTGGCAACTTAGTACAGTAATTATACTGATGTTAATGGATAAAATAAACAGTGACTAGCAATATGGAAACAGTGAATTCTGTCTGCAGTGATGAAGAACCTTTTTCATGATAATAAACAAAGTTAAAATTTGTAATACATGGCACCTGAATACAACAGGCCCCATCACACCACTTCTTTGGATATACTGTTTGATCTACATTGATATGTCCTGCCAGAAAATAAAAGCTTAATTGGTTACCTAATTGAGCTGAAAAAATCTCTGGCAGCAAGAAGTCCACAGATTTTATTTTCAAGGAGCTTGATGTACTTATGATTATTCATTAATAAGTTAATAAGCATATAACAGTTATGAAAGAAAAAATAAAGGTAACTGAGACAAAGAAAGAAATTAATGCTCCTTGTACTAGTCAGATTGAATACAGAAGGAAATGAACTCTGTATTAATACAAACACCAGAACTACAATCATGTAGCATCTGAGTGGCAGCAATGAAGAATGGGAATGTAAAAGACAAACAAGTAATGAGTATTATTGAGTAATATTCTATAATCTTTTTCACCTGCAGCACACTCTAATTTGTCAAAGACACATGATAGCACACCATAAAATTTCACCTCACAAAAAAGGGGTATAAAACTGTATGTGACCATAAACATGTATCTACATACAAATCCTTGTCCTATAAGAATAAAGGCATATGAAAATAAAAACATAGCACATGTTAAAACTATCAATGATGAACCAGTGTGTGTCTGTGTGTGTATTATAAATTCTAATTACAGAAGATAAGATATTATACTTTTCATAACTTTGTAGCTCACCTGTAACCTTGTGGCAGTACATCAGTGTACCATGGCACAGCAGTTTTGGAATAGTATTATAAAAGATAATGAATATGACACTCCCTTTGAAGTGCCCAAAGCAGATAAAGTTACAGAAAATAACAGTAATAATGTGGTAAGAATGACAAAACAATTGTGTAACTTCATTTTCTGCATCTCAACAGTGGCAGGAATTACACACTCTAAAAATATCAACATACACTCTAATAAAATATACGCGCTATACCGAGATTTCACATTGTTTATTTACTTTTAAAATTTTCAAATATAAAATTTGATGGGTATACAGAAAAAGTGGAAAAGATAACTGAACAACTAATACATTGACACCTACTGGAAAACAAAAACGGGGGAAGACTAAATGCATAGTGGCTGTAAGTGATGGGAATTAATGGGTATTTGTAAGATAGAGGACATCGGAAAATAATCAAATGAATGTTAGGGAAATGGACTGAAGTGGCTCAAAATGGTGGCCAATTGTAGATTTTAATATTACAGGTGTTGAACCTTTGGGTTGTAAGAACAGGGGGTGAGATGCATCTCAGAATCTACTCTAAGTATGTAATTAATTTTTGTGTCAAATGAATGTTCATGAATGCCTCTCCCTATATTTGATAAAATTAGTAATCCTAGGAATGGAAGCACTAAAAACTGAAATGGTGTAAGACAGAATCTCATTCCTGAATTGTCATATTTGTTTTACAATGCAGATTTCATTCACTTCATTGGTTCCCCATACATGTTAACATTTGTCATATAGGAACAGGGGATTTAAACCAAATACTATAAGGCTGTGGCCAGACTTTAACCCCTAAGTAGATAAGGACAAAACACTCACTAGAACAGAGCCAATTAATTTAGTAGTAAACACACCCAGTTCAAATTTCACCTACGAACAATATTCTTTGATCGAAATGTTCTATGGTTTTCTTCATTTCCCCACCATGACAGTACCTTGAAATAGGCTATACCTACTTCCACTTGCATTCATCCTGATAAACCACTCACTATTCAATGAACCTCTCCTCTACAGGATTCAGAATAAATCAACATGTTGTTTAACTCCATGAAATGCATAGCAATCAATACACACAGGTCTTGTAGACAAGTTTCTTTCACTGGTAACTCTTCTAATATTTCTCTGATGTCTCACCCACGAGGCAGTGTATGATGATTTATTGGGCCCAGAGAGAAACCTCAGGCTTCTTCATTCACCTTCTGTACACTGTAAATTCATGACAAAGTTTTTATTATTATTTAAATCTAACAAAATTACAAACATTAAAAAATTATTTTCCTTAACTTGGCACATTTTAAGGTTCCACAGAATCTGTAAGCACAAAAAATTATGGTAGTTTCTATTTCGATATTATATAGTAATAAGAGGAAGGGCATGTCATGTAACAATATTCTGTACATCACTTCCTCGACAAATTTTCAATTATAAGGAATTTCAACATAGGCACAAAAGTTTAATAATGTGTATGCTCTTTTAAAATTGCATGTATGAAATTTATATGTATTAACTGTATTTAAAATGGGAAACAACAACATGGTACTGTTTACAATTGTAATCTTGAGACTTGTGTGAGGAAGTGGGTTGAAGGAGGAAAGATAGCGTCTGCTATGCAGTAGCCCTTAACACTTCAGATTTCCTGCATTCCTTGCAAGTTTCAAGATTGCAGTTGCAAACAGTTTTGTTTGTTTGTCATTGGTCTTTCGACTGGTTTGATGTGGTCCTCCAATTTCACCTATCTGGCGCCAATCTCTTCTCTTCATTTCCACATATTTTTTACAGCCTTGCAAACAGTATGTACTTTTAATTTTATGGTTATAATTGATGAACCTCTGAAAGCAGACATGTGAAATTTGGTATAACTGAAATAAATATGCTAAATTTTTACAGGTTCCACATAAAATGTAATTTGTTTGGCAGGAGTGTGTACACGATGATGACATGAATGTTTTAAGATCCCACTTGTAAAGAAACTGTTAAGAGTCTAACAAGTCAAGACTTGGCTCATATTAATGTTTTGTACCATTTAAGTAATAGTGGTCATTGGTAAGGGGCTGGTGTCCTGTGC